GGGGGGGGGGTGCTACCATCGTTTTGTTTTATATTTTAGATGAGGTGCAATAAACTTAAAGAGCGTGTCTCCGTGAACTCTGTACCTCGGTAATCAATACTTAAAGGGACTGTTCGTGTAATTTCAAGTGACCTTGCATGCAAAGATGGCAATGTCTGATTCACAACTGTACCCTTGAACTCTTGATCTGATCAATGATGTGGAAAATATTGTCGTTTTTCTAGGTTTCAGAATTATTTTTTTGGATAATTCCTTTATGTTTTCCTGCAGTGTAAAACCACAATTGAAAATAATCAGCTCTCAAACTATATCTAATTCATTCTTGATCAGACAAAGCTATTAAAGGGAGTGCCCGGCAATGTATGGTGGTTGAATTAACTGAGATTGTCGTATTGTGGACAAATTTGAGACATATAAAACTATTCTACGACATATATTTACTGAGTTTGAGTGCATAGTCGACTTTAAAAATCATCTTTTCGGGTGGATACATTTTGAGAATCGTTTTTTTTTAATTATTGAATAACGACGACCAAAAAAAATAACAAAAATTCTACAGTAAACTAATTAGTTGTTTAGGAACAGGCTGAGAAATATAAGTTAACTTTTGACATCGAAAATAAGTTATTTTATTCAATTATTAGTCTCTGAAATCTTCCATTATTCACAAAGACTTTCTGCAGATTTTTTGGAATTTTTATTGAAAAGATGGAATTTGAAGAATTTGTACAAATCTGCGAACATAGAAAATAAGAAATTCAATATGATGATGAAAATGAAATAAATGCTTATAACATTGATTTTTCGACAAATTTCTTTTGAGAAATAAGTTCCTAAACATCTAATTAGTTTATTTTAGAATTTTTTACTTTATATTTTGTCGTCGTTATTTCATAATCTTAAAAAACCGATTCTCAAAACGTACCCACCCAAATTGACGATTTTGAACGTCGACTTTGCGCTCAAACTCGGTAATTATAGATCTTTAAAACTTGTTATAAGTCTCAACTGAATCCTAAATACTTTATCTATATTACTGCCACCATACATTGGCATCTTTGAGTGGAATTGTCTAAAGGGAACCTTATTTTAGTAAATATGTATTCACACTCACAATAATTAAAATCTTTACAAAAATAAGGAAAACGCTCCAAAATGTCGACAAAAAAGACTTTTACTCATAGGTTTGACAAACATTAAAAAGTTTGTATAAAGACATTCTCTTCGAATCAACCAAAAAATGCGCTAAACCCCCCAAAAAATACAAAGTCTAAGATCTGACATGCAGAACAATAATTTCTGTAGGACTGCAGTCATTTAGTACTGCGCATTCAATTAAATCCTTCTAAAATTGCACGAAGCATAAGTACAGATAAATAAGTAACTAAATATGCGGACTGTGCTGTATTATGTCATTTTAAAAATCATAAATTGCATATTTTGAAATTACAAAAAGTAAAAGCATGCCTGTATAACTGATTTTGAACGATTAAAAAAATTGTTTATTTTCACATCTGTAAAGACTAAAAATGAAAACATTTAGTATAGATTAATTATTCAAACTATCATTTTCTATCTTGATACTATAACAATAAAGTTGCGATCATTTTTTCTTCTGCTATCCTTGAGATCATCTTCAGGAGCTCTTCTGTATCAAAGGATAACTACTGAGTGCCTCACTTACAATCAGATTCAAAGGATCTTCAATCAATAAATCATATCTGTTCAAGTCTAAACACCCTTTGCAACAAAGATAGAAATATCTAGAACTAGAACAGAAAGCACAATAAAGAAAATAATCCCTGCAATGTTTAACATTTTATCATCATGTAGATCTTTCTTTGCTTCCCCAGAAGTTACTGTTGTGTAGATATTGACTATGATATGACAGAGCACAATCCAGCCAATGATTGCAAACAAATGGTATTGAAAGTGGTCAGGAACAACCTGGGTTTGCATTCTTGTTGTCAAGAAAACAGAAGTCCAGCTAAGAACCAGTATGGAGAAACCAATTATCCCATGTGTCCAGTTGAAAAGAGGTCTCAACCTATGACTTGGAGAGCATCGTGCCATGGCAAGCAGCGGCTGAAGATATGCTAGGACTAACGCTGCAACTCCAACAAGAGAATGTGTCACTTTATCTGTTATAGGATCCAAACCTTTGTCAATGATGATTGGAATCATTCCAAGAATTGAGAAGACAAGGGCAAATGTCATTAATATCTGATGTGTTGTAAACCAAACATCCTTACCTAACAACTTCTTGTCCTGGAAAAAAAAATATTTATAATGTTTTGTTCAAAATTTATATCTAGAAATAATACCTGAAAGTTTTTCTTGAAGTAACATGCCATGAATATGCCTAGATTGGCAAAGAAAACCCAAGCTAAGATCATACCAATTCCATGCAGTTTAACAAGAATCTTAGATGCATTTTGCACTGGTCCATATGATCCAAGATCTTGGCTTGTTCCAGTAAAGTCTCTGATTGAATGCACTTGAATAATGCCATTAGAGTCAGTATTCCCGGTTGCTATGAGCAGGAAATATTTCTTCATCAAAATGTCAAAGACTTCAAAACCACCATCAGATTTTGAAACATTAGTTATTGCATCTCTTTGAAATGTACATTTGACAAATCCACTTTGATACGAGCCAGATATCTGAGATAAACCCTGATGGGAATCTTTAGAGATTAAGCTATTCTTCGGACTGCCTGTGTTCCAATACAAATTGACATTAAATTTACCATTATTCATGATGCATGCCATTACACTATCATCCCCCATGGAATCATCATTTGATAATGCCAGGGCAGCATAACTGGAGGGTTGAGATGTTGGATACCCAATTTCAAACTCAAACAGTTTATCTGAGAGTTTGCTAAATGTTGCAACAATCTTACAGCTTTTGGACTGAATACAGTTGGCAGGTGTTCCAAAGCATCCTTTATCATCAAAACATTGATCATAAATATCCTGTGAAATGTGATCATTGTATTTAGAAATATCAAGACCAGTTAAAGTAGAAGCGGAAATGCTATGCTTCTGTATTACATTGCTTGAATTTACTAATCCAGTGGCAAACAGTAAATAATATTGTATAGTGTTTAAATCAAACTGTTGAACTGCATGTGTTCCTGGGATACTTATGCTTAACTTGGAATCAAGAAGAAATGAACAAGTCAGTTTTGAATCACTAACAGAAACAGTCTCATTCTGAATTCCAACAGTGGTATTTGGAAGCAAGATGCTTTGTTTGGTGGGTAGATTCCAATACATGTTTACACCACCTCCAACACTGCATGCAATAACACTATCATTTCCCATCAAATTGTCTAATGAAAGTCCAACTGCAAGGTATGCATTCTCTTTTACTGTTCCAAGGACAGTGAAATTGTACTGGTCTTGGCTATCACCAAACCATCGTAAAAGAATAGAACAATTCTGATATTTTTCACAAGCTTGAGGAATGCCAACACATCCAATGTTACTTCCACAGTCTTTATAATCTTCATTGGATATAAATGGGTTCTCATCACCCCATTTAAACTGATTTGGACTTTTAACTCTACCACCAGGACTGGAGTGTTTTTGAACAACACCAGCAGAAATTAATCCCTGGGCCATAATGATATTGTATGAATCTTTGTTTAAGTCAAATGTATGGTTTGTACCATCACTAGACAAAACTGAAAATTGTGCATTTATTTGTAAGTTGCAGTAAAGGCCATTGTCTTCAGTGAGATGTTGTAGACTTACAAGACCTTCTGAAACTGATTTTGCAGGAGATGAAGAGTATGAAGCAGTATTCCAATAAACAGAAGTTATGTTTGGAAGTGTTGCTGAACAAACCACAATCGGGGCAGGACCCATTGTGGAGGATGTTGGAAGCCCAAATGCAATATATCCTCCCACAGCAACATCTTTTCCATAAACCTCAACATTATATTCATTTTCTGATATTCCTTTCCAGGATAATCCAAAAGAACAGTTTGTCTTGCACCCCTCAGGATACTGAAAACACCCCTTGTCACTTGTACAGCTAAAATTTCCGGTAGGCTTAAAATCATTGTTGTCTCCCCAGGTAAATTTATCAGTACTCTTACCTCTTGATACATGCTTTTGTACTACTCCAGCAGTAACTGCTCCTTGGGCCATTATAATGTTGTATGATTCATTGTTTAGATCAAATGTATGGTTTGTACCATCACTAGACAAAACTGAAAATTGTGCATTTATTTGTAAGTTGCAGTAAAGGCCATTGTCTTCAGTGAGATGTTGTAGACTTACAAGACCTTCTGAAACTAATTTTGCCGGAGATGAAGAGTATGAAGCAGTATTCCAATAAACAGAAGTTATGTTTGGAAGTGTTGCTGAACAAACCACAATCGGGGCAGGACCCATTGTGGAGGATGTTGGAAGCCCAAATGCAATATATCCTCCCACAGCAACATCTTTTCCATAAACCTCAACATTATATTCATTTTCTGATATTCCCTTCCAGGATAATCCAAAAGAACAGTTTGTCTTGCACCCATCAGGATACTGGAAACACCCCTTGTCACTTGTACAGCTAAAATTTCCAGTAGGCTTAAAATCATTGTTGTCTCCCCACGTAAATTTATCAGTACTCTTGACTTTTGATACATGCTTTTGCACTACTCCAGCAGTAACTGCTCCTTGGGCCATTATAATGTTGTATGATTCATTGTTTAGATCAAATGTATGATTACTATCATCTCCAGATACAAATGAAAACAAAGCTTTTATTTGTAAGCTGCAGTAAAGGCCATTGTTTTCATTGAGATGTTGAAGACTTACAAGACCTTCTGAAACTGATTTTATCGGAGCTGAGGAGTATGAAGCAGTATTCCAATAAACAGCAGTTTTGTTCGAAAGCGCTGCTGAACAGACAACAACTGGGGCAGGACCCATTGCGGAGGATGTTGGAAGCCCAAAGGCAATATATCCTCCCGCTGCTACATCTTTTCCATAAACCTCAACATTATATTCATTTTCTGATATTCCTTTCCAGGTTATATTAAACTGACAGGCTAAGGTACAATCAGGGGGAGATTTGAATAAACCTTTTTCATCTTGCGAGGAGGCAAAAGCAGAAGAAAGAATAAAAACTAGTAAACGCTGGAGGTTCCTCCCACCCTTCATTTATAAAGGACAAGTTTCAACTATTGTAGAATCGGAATGATAAGTGTTTTTGTGGGAAATTTGCCTGATAAACTACTGCGGATCAACCTTGACTTTCAGGCAGAAGTCATAAAGAAACAATAGTGTTTAAAAAAAGTTTTAAAATCCAAATTTTTACTTTTTTTTTAAAAGTAATGATTTGAAAAGGAAAAATGCAATAATTTCATAAATTTCAATATTTTTTACTTTGAATTTTATGATGTAGTAAACAACATGATATAACAATATCTTTAGCCATTACTCTCTTTTAGATAAGCTGCTATGTTAAATAATATGTAAAGAACGGATTTATTGCTCTCTTACATATTCAGAATACTTTGACATGAGGCCAGATTTAATAAATAACGAGTAGAAGTTGAACCACTTCTCTGTAACTTGATTCAGCTACTATAAGAAGTGGTTCAGCTTATTCGATGTAGTTCAATTACTGCTTGTTATTAATTAGAAAAGACCATAAGCTATATATACCAATAATGCCTGTTAAAAAACACACCCAAAAAGTTCAACAATTTATTGAAAAGGTGTATTTTTTCTTCAAAATATCTTTAGGTTTAATTATAAGTTGATATTTTTTAGAACTTCTAAATCAATATCTTATTTGTTTTCACACATTTATATATTTTGATCCTTAATCAATATACAATATGTATTTTGTTAAATGTCAAATTTCCATGATTTTGAAGTTTTTATTTATTTTAGTTGTCTTCTTATGTTTTCTTTTTATACATTTTTATTCTTAATCGACTTTTGTCGGTTCAAAACTATGATCCTTGATTTTTTTCATTTTCAGGTTTATTTTTCTAAGTATTCATCTTTTTTCACTTTAATTATAAAGTTATTTGTTATTTCTACAATTTTTCTTATCTTTATGTAAACTAACAATTATATCACGACATTGAATTTAAATTAAATTATTATAAAATGATTTGTGTTGTTTTTCACTGCAATAGGACATTACTATGACGACTTTGTGACTATGTAATTCCTCTAGTTTTGATTTTCTGCATAAGTATAAGAAAAGTATATTAGTTCGGTTACATATTAGAAATTATGGCTGTTATGATTGTAATAATAAAAGATTTCAATTATACGTGAAATTCACTTTATCTTTACATATTTTACTCTGTAAACACTATGCGCGTGTGTCTGCACTAGCGTGCACTAAATACCAATGCCGAGCACAGTTTCCGTAATAAGAGTTCTTGCACCTCGGGGCGCGTTCTAATTGATTTATTTGAGTCTCACTACTTCAGAGAGAGAGAGAGAGAGAGAGAGAGAGAGAGAGAGAGAGAGAGAGAGAGAGAGAGAGAGAGAGAGAGAGAGAGAGAGAGAGAGAGAGAGAGAGAGATATAACCCACTTTACATACACATTTTTAAACTCAATAGCTCTATGGTTGGCTTGGCTCCACCACTTTTATATCTACATACTCCCTGCTTCTGTTATTAACCCTAAAAAGGCTGAGGGGTCTGAATCTATGTATGGACTGAGGGGGCGTCCCACGCTTCCCCCCCCCCCTGTAAAAAGGCCTTAGAGAATAGATACAGGGTTGAAATGCATGTTCATGGCCCAATTTTTAAAGACCAGCTCATTGTAAAACAATTAAGATCGATAACTTTTATAGTTTGGGAAAAGGCCAAAAAAAGATCAAAAAATGTCAAAAAAATGTTAGAAATATTTTTTTTTAAAACAAATATTAAAGTGCATAACATTTTTATTTATTAAAAGTCAAAAAATTTCACGATGATAGTGTCAAAAATTATAATGATAAGACAAAAAAAACTAAAGAGGGGGGCGTTTAGGGTTAACCCCATTAACATATCTATAAACTCTATAACCTATATGCCTCTATGGTTAGCTACCACCTTTATATATCTCCATATACTCTATGCTCCTGTAAGTAATCCCCTTTGCATATGAAGTGGCCGTTACATATCTTTAACCATATGCCTTTGATTTGTATTTTTATTTGATCAATGCTCGTATTAAGCCCCCTCTATATATCTTCATACTCCATGTTTCTATATTCAGACCCCTCTGTATTTGTATACACTCTATGGTTCTATAATTGTATTAATCTGTATAGTCTGTGTAGTCTGGATATAAGAGTATAGAAGCTAAACCATAATGGTTTGGCCAACTGTTGGCCATTAAACATTAGGATTGGACGGACTTAGTTCTGAATACAGGGAGTCTCAAAAACATTACTGGTTCATGACAAGAGCTTGTTAAACACAAAAAAAGGAAAAAGTTAGCAAAATTGAAATTATTATTTATTATTATTTATTTTTCGAAATGTTGAAATCAATAGTTCAATTTTACCTGGTTTTTAAACTATATAATAAAAAGTAAATAAATATTGTTGTATATCTCACAAGTCAATAAGTCCTTGTAATTAAACGCATTGCAATAAATATTTCGTTTAATTTGTGATAGATAAAGCTTAAAAAATATGATTATCATTGAAAAGACTAATGTTTAAAGGGTCAAGACTTAAATTTTAGATTTTTGAACAGTGGTGAAATATTGTTTGAACAGTGGTGAAATATTGTTGCATGATTCGCATATAGTGTGAATAAATGGAATATATTGAACATATATCAGAAGAATATATTTCAGTAGAATATATTAAATATATATCAGAAGAATATATTTCAGTATATATATTTAAGTGTGTATAGGATTATAAATTCATTTATCATAATACACTGTCAATATAGGGCTCACAATGATAGAAGAAGGTCCAAATATATAGATAGATAGATTGATAGATAGATAAATAGATAGATAGAAAGACAGATAGATTGGTAGCTAGATAAATAGATTGATAGATAGATAGATAGTGGCGATGGACCAAACCTTTGTAGAGTGGTGATGGACCAAACCTCTGTAGAGTGGTGATGGACCAAACCTTTGTAGAGTAAATAAAGTAGATGTTAGATCCACATTTATTGGAAATATATTTCGGTCTGGGTTGACCCTTGTCAGTTCTTGAGATTGCTTCTGTCAGGAAGATTAAAAACAAACTCTAGATAGATTTGGAACAAGTTTTAAATATTTTGGAGAAGATGTTAGTATGCCTGTTTTGGGTGGTCCCCTAAAGCACCCTAAAGTCCTCTAAAGTACCCTAAGGTCCCTAAAGTTTGCCTGGTTTTTATAACCGTCTTGTTTTCTTTACTAAAAGATATTATACTTGTGTAAACATCTGTAGATGTTTTTCAAGTATAAAAACACATGTCTTTACACCCTTAGTCTCCACTATACAAAGGTTTATACCCCTGCACCCCTGCAAGGGATTCTAAGTGTAATTTCGTTTGTTCAGCAATGAAAACAATGCCCGATTAACAACGGTACCTCGGTAATCTGATAAATATTGCGAAAGAAATTATTGTTCTTTTTTCCCTAGGTTAAAAAGTGTTTAATTCTGATAACTCCTTTTTAATTAATGCCGTTAATTGAACAAACAATCGGTAATGACGGCCGCAGTTAACGATTGAAGGGATATTTACCGTTAACGCCGTTAATAGAATTGAGATCGTTAACTAACTTAAAGCTTAAAAATTTCTTATCTTTTTGAATTTTGAAACGTATTGTCCCATATTTTAGGTGTATTTTATTTTTACTCAGATTAGAAATATTAAACCAGGACTGATATTTTCTAAAGACAAGAAGCATTTGCACAATTAACAAATTTTACCTCTAATGAAGCATTTAATTTTGCAGACCTGAACACCGCAGATTATCCTGTGATAAGACAATAAATTTGCACACTGTTTTTGCACAGAGTTAATTAGTTTTCGCGTGTGAAACTAGGCGGTTCCTGACAATTAAAGTTTGCAGCGAGGGACACATGAATATAATGTGTGTGCGATATTGGAGATATGAACGGGTAGAGAGAAATATTAATATTGGAGATATGAACGGGTAGAGAGAAATATTAATATTGGAGATATAAACGGGTAGAGAGAAATCTTAATATTGGAGATATGAACGGGTAGAGAGAAATATTAATATTGGAGATATGAACGGGTAGAGAGAAATCTTAATATTGGAGATATGAACGGGTAGAGAGATATCTTAATATTTGTGAAGTATACACTTCACGTTTCTTATATTCTTTCCATCTGTTTGTCGGTCTATCAATCTAGCTATCGATTGATCTATTAGTCTTTCGCCCTGTCGATCATTTGATCTTTTGATCCATTGATCTATCGTTCTATTAATCTATCGATCTATTAATCTATCGATCTATTAATCTATCGATCTATTAATCTATCGATCTATTAATCTATCGATCTATTAATCTATCGATCTATTAATCTATCGATATATTAATATCTATCGATCTATTAATCTATCGATCTATTAATCTATCGATCTATTAATCTATCGATCTATTAATCTATCGATCTATTAATCTATCGATCTATTAATCTATCGATATATTAATCTATCGATCTATTAATCTATCGATCTATTAATCTATCGAGCTTTATCGATATCTTGCTCTATCAATATCTCTCGCTACATCGATTTATTGATCTTTTTCTCCATCGATCTCTCGCTCTATCAATCCTTTAGTCTATCGATCTTTAGCTCTATCGATCTTTAGATCTATCGATCTTTAGATCTTTCGATCTTTAGATCTATCGATTTTTAGATCTATCGATCTTTAGATCTATCGATCTTTAGATCTATTGATTTTTAGATCTATCGATCTTTAGATCTATCGAAATTTAGATCTATTGATTTTTAGATCTATCGATCTTTAGATCTATCATTCTTTAGATCTATCGATCTTTAGATCTATCATTCTTTAGATCTATCGATCTTTAGATAAATCGATCTATATATATATATCCATCCTCCGATCAGTCGATTTTTCTATTTATTGATCTTTCTATCTATCCGTGTATTTATTTATCGATCAACATATTTATCTATCTGTTATGTTTATCCGACTGTCTATCTATCTCGAACAAGGAACTTAAAATCATAATCAAATGTTCATTAGGTATCTGA